CTGGTCTCAAACTCCTGACCTCATGATCTGCCCGCCTTGGCCTCCCAAAGTGCTGGGACTACAGGCGTGAGCTGCCGCACCCAGCCAGGATTATTTCTTAGTGATGTTCTTCTATTAATACCTTGAGCATAATCAAAGCTACCACTTACTGAATGTTTTCTATGACCAAGGGCTCTGTGCTAAAATACTTTTCCAGCATTGCGTCAGTCTTTACAATGGCCCTTTACAATACTAGGTAATAGTATTGTTCCCATTTAACAGATGATAAATCTGAGGTTTAGTAAGATTAAGTAACTTGCCCAGATCATATATCTAAAAAGTAGGATAACTGGGATTAAAACTGAGAACAGCCTGATTCCAAGGCTGTTTTTTTTTTTTTTTTTTTTTTTTTGAGACGGAGTCTTGCCCTGTGGCCCAGGCTGGAGTGCAATGGCACCATCTCAGCTCACCGCAACCTCCGCCTCCTGGGTTCAAGTGATTCTCCTGCCTCAGCCTCCTGAGTAGCTGGGATTACAGGTGTGTGCCACCACGCCCAGCTAATTTTTTGTATCTTTAGTAGAGATGGGGTTTCACCATGTTGGCCAGGCTGGTCTTGAACTCCTGACCTCGTGATCTGCCCGGCTCAGCCTCCCAAAGTGCTGGGCTTATAGCGCCCGGCTATCCAAGACTGTTCTTAACCACCCACCCATATCCTCCTCACACTTACAGCACAGTGTAGTGGAAAGGGCTGGATTGAACATGGCCAGTGAGAGGTATTTTCTTTCCTTCCTCAGTGGGTTGACATGTGAGTTGAGGAGGCCGAATATAAAACCATCAATGATAATAGAAGGCAGTATAGACAGAGCACCAACCCATGTCCTAGAAACCGAGGCGTGGGGCGGCTGGGAGAGGCTTCTGTAAAAGGCATTTGAGAGAGATGGGGCCAGGCCTTCAATGTGGGCCTGGACTTACACCTATGAGAAGCCCCTGTTTGGCAGGGCTCACACTGTCCCCACTCTTATGACTCATTTCACCATGCCTTCCCGTGTCTCTATCCTCCTCTTCAACCAAATGGATCTGTGGGAGGCTTTCTTCACAACACATAATGAGCCCAAGAGCTAACACTTATGGAGGGCGCATATTGTGCTAGTCACTATTCTGAGCACTTTACATACGACAGTTTAATCCTCACAATAGGCCTGTAACATAAGTACTGATATGAGCCCCATTTTACAGATGAGGATACTGAGGGACAAAGAGGTTAAGTAACTTGCCCAAGGTCACCCGGTTGGTGTGACAGCCAGAATCAGAACCCGGGCAGTTTGGTTGTAGACTCCCTGCCTTTGAGCTCTGGGCTGGATTACATCTCCAGTATAATTTCTGTTCTCCTGCATCTGAGCCTCTCTGGAGGCCCTGCGCTCTACTTTGCAAGTCGTTTTCACACATTTCTATAAAATCCAACCCAGTCAAATTCAAGTTAAATAACACAACAGCAATCACTGTAAGGGGAGTAAAGACTTTTTGAACAACAAACTTCTGTGACTGGCCCTGAGCCCGGTGGTTCCCGTTTAATTTTCACAACAATCCTGTAAGATAGTGGTCTCCAACCTTTTGACATCAGGGACCAGTTTCATGGAAGACAATTTTTCCACGGACAGGGTGGAAGTGGTTTCAGGATGAAACTGTTCCACCTCAGATCATCAGGCATTAGATTTTCATAGGGAGAGCACAACCTAGATCCCTCACATGTGCAGTTCACAACATAATTTGCACTTCTATGAGAATCTAATGCCACTGCTGATCTCACAGGTGGTGGAATTCAGCTGGTAACGCTTGTTTGCCCTGCCACTCACCTCCTGTTCTACAGCCTGGTTCCTAACAGGCCACAGAAGGGTCCCCCCAAGGGTAAGGGACCCTTGCTGTAAGGTTTTTATAAATGGGGAAATTGAGTCTCAAAGACATTAAGTAACTCATTCAAGGGCTGAGACCCCCATGCAAAACCTAAGCCCTCCCCTGTATAGCTTGGTCTCAAATCCCTGAAGCCTTCCTCCCCACCCCAACAAATGCACATCAGTCCCTGCTCAGCACTGACCACACTTTTTTTTTTTTTTTTTTTTTTCAGAGACAGGGTCTCACTCTGTTGCCCAGGCTAAAGTGTGGTGGTCTGATCATGGCTCACTGCAGCCTCAACCTCCTGGGCTCAAGTGGTCCTCCTGCCTAGGCCTCCCAAAATATTGGGATTACAGCCATGAACCACTGCACCCAGCCCACTCATTCATTTTTTAATGAGCTTTTATTCTTCTGCAGTTTATCAGATATTCTCCCAGTGCCTTCTGTCTGGCGTTCTGAGTTCTGCCTTCAGTAGTTGTACATGACAAGTCCAGCCAGTCTCTTAGGACAGCCCTTCACCTGCCTGGGAGCAGCTATTATTGTATTTCCTTTAGGGAGTCTCCACAGAACCTGAACATCCTCAGTCCCTCCAGCTGTTTCCGGAATGACGGTTTCAGTGCCTGTCACCCTACTGGCCGCCCCGCTTTGAATGAACTGCACTTGATCTCGAGAACAGAACATTTGACTCTACAATGTAAAGTTGTAGGTTGTGGGTAGATCACTGCAGAATATTCTAGATTATTTCTCCCTGAATATGGACCCAGTAGTTTTGTAAAGACAAAACATGGGCCAGGCGCAGTGGCTCACACCTGTAATCCCAGCATTTTGGGAGGCTGAGGCGGGCAGATCATGAGGTCAGGAGATTGAGACCATCCTGGCTAACACGTGAAACCCTGTTTCTACTAAAAATACAAAAACAAAATTAGCCGGGAGTGGTGGCGGCGCCTGTAGTCCCAGCTACTTGGGAGGCTGAGGCAGTAGAGTGGCGTGAACCTGGGAGGCAGAGCTTGCAGTGAGCTGAGATCGTGCCACTGCACTCCAGCCTGGGCAACACAGCAAGACTTGGTCTCAAAAAAAAAAAGACAAAACGTATTTTTAAGCTCTATCCTAATCAGAGTTCAGTTCTCAATGTGGGGAGCAAGACTAGGTGCTTTGTAACCTAGAAGCTAGGCTGAAAAGCTGCTGCCAATGGAGGGAGAAGACTTCCCTTCCTCAAGGGCCTCTATTCAGTGGTGGTTCCTAGCCAGAGGCTGGCCAGGGAGGCCAAGGGGGAGAGAGGCAGTGAAGAGCCTGTATTTGCTGGTCGCTAGGAGTCATAGCAGGACAGGGAAGGGCACAGTGTCAGGGAAGGGGGCCCAAACCAAATAGCTTACTGTCATTTTGATTTGTCCACTTGACTTCTTTTCTTGAATGAGGGAAGTTAAGCACATTTGTGTATATATAAAAATAATATATATATATTTTCGAGACAGAGTCTCACTCTGTTGCCCAAGCTGGAGTGCAGTGGCATAATCTCAGTTCACTGCAACCTCCGCCTCCTGGGTTCAAGTGATTCTCCTGCCTCAGCCTCCCGAGTAGCTGGGATTACAGGCGCCCATCACCACACCCAGCTAATTTTTTGTATTTTTAGTAGAGACGGGGTTTCACCATGTTGGCCAGGCTAGGCTCAAACTCCTGACCTCAGGTGATCCACCCACCTTGACCTCCCAAAGTGCTGGGATCACAGGCGTAAGCCACCGTGCCTGGCCTCTGTTGTTGATTTCTAGAAGATTTTTATATGTTAAGGAAATTAACTCCTTTTGTTATACAGTACAAATGCATTTTTCCAGTTTGTCGTTTATTTGCTTAATGTTTAATTTTAATTTTAATTTTTTTTTTAGAGATGGGGTCTCACTCTGTTGCTCAGGCTGGAGTGCAGTGGTGCCATTGTACTCACTGCAGCTTTGAACTCCTCAGGCCAAGCGATCCTCCTGCTGAGAGGATCCTCCTGAGGGAGGCTCCCAAGTAGCTGGAACTATAGGCACCCACCACCATCCCCAGCTAATTGTTGTTGTTGTTGTTGAGAAGGGGTCATTCTGTCTTGCCCAGGATGGTCTGGAACTCCAGGCTTCAAGTGATCCTCCTACCTCAACCTCCTAACATATGCGGTTAATAGGCATGAGCCACTGTGCATGGCCAATACTATTTTTTTTTCCTATGTAGAAACGTTTTATATTCCAAATAGTCAAATGTATTAATCTTTTCATTTGGGGATTCTTTGCTTCTATTTCTCCTCCTTCTTTTTCACATATATCAGATCTAAGAAAGTCTTCTCTATTCTGATATTATAAAAATAATATCCTATGTTGCCTTCAATTATTATTATTATTATTTTGAGACAGAGTCTTGCTCTGTCACCCAGGCTGAAGTGCAGTGGCACTATCTCAGCTCACTGCAACCTCTGCCTCCTGGGTTCAAGTGATTCTCATGCCTCAGCCTCCCAAGTAGCTGGGATTACAGGCGTGTGGCACCATGCCCAGCTAATTTTTGTATTTTTAGTAGAGACAGGGTTTCATTATGTTGGCCATGCTAGTCTTGAACTCCTGACCTCAAATGATCCGCCTGTCTCAGCTTCCAAAAGTGCTGGGATTGCAGGCGTGAACCACTGTGGCTGGCAGTCTTCAATTATTTTTATTATTTTACTTTTTACATTTCAATCTTTGATCCATCTGAAATTCATTCTGATGTACCATTTATTGTTCATTTACTGTATGTGCTGAGCATGGCACTCAGCACTTTATATACATTATCTTATTTAATAGTAATTATGGAAACCTCTATTATAACGATGAGAACATTGAAGCTTAGCAAGGCTAATTCAGTCAAGATCTTACATCCAGTGTCAGGACAGAGCCCAAGTCTGCCTGAATCTAATTTTCTTTTCTTTTCTTTTTTTGAGACGGAGTTGCATTCTTGTTGCCCAGGCTGGAGTACAATGGTGCAATCCCGGCTCACCTCAACCTCCATCTCCTGGGTTCAAGTGATTCTCCTGCCTCAACCTTCCGGGTGGCTGGGATTACACATGTGCCACTACGCCTGGCTAATTTTGTTTTTTTAGTAGAGACAGGTTTTCTTCATATTTGTCAGGCTGGTCTCGAACTCCCGACCTCACGTGATCTGCCCACCTCGGCCTCCCAAAGTGCTGGGATTACAGGCATGAGCTACCGCGCCCGGCCCCTGAATCCAATTTTCATGTGCTTAACTCATATTTATGAAAGAGACATGCCGTGTTGTTTGGAAATCTCCAACTTCATGACCACCCATTTTGGGAAAGACTGTTGAGTGTATGATGACAACTGTCCATGCCATAAGGTGTAAAGAACCAGGAACATGCACCAAGGTGGGGCTACTGGATGTCAGAAGCCAAAGTCACCCTGCGGCTGAGTCACTGACTCATGCTTCTGTCTGAAGGCTGAGGATTCAAACTCTTCTCATAGCAAACTTATGGGTGACTAGATCAAGTCACACCAGAGTAGACAGAACTATGAGTACAAAACCCATGAATGTAAGAGTTTCTTGAATGTCCCCTTGTCATGGACAGGATGGGTCCTGAAGTTTGGATGGAGTTCAACCTGCAAATAGAGCAAAAATACTGAATTTTATTGATTCTTAGATGCACAGCTTTCTACATTTAACATCTCTGAAATCAGGATGCCTTTTCTGATAAGTGGTGTGTACAATTGCTATTGTACTGGCAACAGGCATGATGGAAGTGTCACTGCCTGTACATGAACCAACTTTCTGCATATTTCTGATGGCATGAATAGACAACTAAATGCAATACACCAACTTTTTATTCACCAGGCAACCTAAGGACTGTTTTAAGAAGTATAAGGCGGGGGGGTAAGCTGTATCCAGATTAGGGGCGAGGGGCGGATCACGGGTAGGAGGACGTCTGGATAACGGTGAACCCATCTCTACTAAAAATACAAAAACTAGCCGGCGAGGTGGCGGCGCCTGTAGTCCAGCTACTCAGGAGGCTGAGGCAGGAGAATGGCGTGACCCGGAGGCGGAGCTGCAGTGGCTGAATCCGGCCACTGCACTCCAGCCTGGCTACAGAGCGAGACTCCGTCTCAAAAAAAAAAAAAAAAAAAAAAAGAAGTAATATAATCTTGGTTGTTTTTTTTTTTTTTTTTTTTTTTGAGGCAGAGTCTTGCTCTGTCGCCCAGGCTGGAGTGCAGTGGCACCATCTCAGCTCACTGCAACCTCTGCCTCCTGAGTTCAAACAATTCTCCTGCCTCAGCCTCCCAAGCAACTGGAATTACAGGCACCAGCCACCACACCCAGCTTTTTTTGTGTGTGTGTGTGTGTTTTTAGTAGAGACGGGGTTTCACCATGTTGGTCAGGCTGGTCTCGAACTCCTTACCTCAAGTGATCCACCTGCCTTGGTCTCCCAAAGTGCTAGTATTATCGGCTTGAGCCATTGCACCCAGCCCATCTTGGTTGTTTTTTGAAACCTTGTATCGACACCTTAAAAAAATCAAGAAAGGACCAGCATTAAAATTTTAGGGGTGGGATAGGATATCTGTGTTGGAAGAAAATCCTTAAAAGAATTATTGGCCGGGCACGGTGGCTTACTGCAGCTTTGAACTCCTGAGGTCAGTTCAGTCACTTGAGGTTAGGAGTTCAAGACGAGCCTGACCAACATGGTGAAACCCCGTCTCAACTAAAGATACAAAAAATTAGCTGGGCATGGTGGTGTGCACCTGTAATCCCAGCTACTTGGGAGGCTGAGGCAGGAGAATCTCTTGAACCTGGGAGGCAGAGGTTGCAGTGAGTCGAGATCGTGCCATTGCACTCCAGGCTGGGCAACAGAGCAAGACTCTGTCTCCAAAAAAAAAAAAAGAAATATTTAAGGTAGGCTGGGTGCAGTGACTCATGCCTGTAATACCAGCACTTTGGGAAGCTGAGGCAGAAGTATCACTTGAGCCAAGGAGCTCCAGACCAGCCTGGGCGACATAGTGAAACTTCGTCTCTACAAAAAAAAATAAAATAAAATTAGCTGGATGTGGTAGCACATGCCTGTGGTCCCGGCTATTGGGAGGCTTAGGTGGGAGGATTGCTTCAGCCTGGGAGGTGGAAGTTGCAGTGAGCCAAGATCTTGCCACTGCACTGCAGCCTGGGTGACAGAGTAAGACTGTGTCTCAAAACAAGTAAATAAATAATAAAAAGGTTTTTTAAAAGAAATACTTCATAACTGACACTCCTGATGGTGCAGGGAACAACTGTGGAAAAACAGAACATACACACGACTTTGAAGTGAAATGCATTTCAGAAGATTGGACTCCCAATGAAAAGTTTGGGGAATACCTTAACCAGTTTTTTTGGTCTTACATTTTTCTTTTGTTTTAGGCACACTTGATACGTGCCATAATCTATGTCTATTAAACTTTTTGTTTTAGCAACTGATAATCAATTAATGAAAGTACAGACATTGATTTAATCATCAGCAATGGCGACTTTGGCTTCAACTCGTGGTTCAATGCTGATGGGAAGAATCAGTTTAGCCGTCTCAAAGAACTATGCAAATGAACGATTGCTTGTGGATTCTCATCTGGAAAGGATCCCATGTCTCAGAACCTTAAGCACAAGGAGTTTATCTTCTAGCAATTCTCAGAGTTTTGGTAGGTGTCCGGACAGGCCCTTTCACTTTGAGGATCTTCCCTTTTGTGACTCTGATCAAGTCAGCCACACCTTCTCCAGGGGTTTTCCTCTGCGACTGGATAGCTTCAGTTCTGTGACTCCCCACCTCTGGCCCCATGGTGTCTTTCCGGTGTCTTTAAAGGCCAAGGCTTTGGCAAGGCTTCCTGGCCAACCTGTTCCTAGGCCAGAACGAGTTGCTCAGGAGCTGTGAGTCAGGTGCAGGAGTGGCCAACCCCACTGCAGGGGCAGCTCACCTTCCTCAGAGTTTAAAGTTTAAAAGATTCTTTTAATCATTATGAAATAAAAGTGTGAAGTAATACAAAGACATTGTGTCAGTGCCTTTTGTTGATGCATACATAGTTGTATGCTGCTTAACGATAGGGATACATTCTGAGAAACGGATCGTTAGGTGGTTTTTGTGTGAATGCTATAGAATGTGCTTACATGTAAATCTTAGTTTACTGTAACTTTTTAACTTTCTAGACCTTTTAATCTTTTGAAACTTTTAGGCTCTTTATAATATCACTTAATCTTTTACAGTTTCACTTAGCTTAAAACACAAACACATTGTGCGGCTGTACAAAAAATTTTCTTTCTTTATATCCTTTATATTCTATATGTTTTTTTATTTATATCCTTATTCCATATGCTTTGTATCCTTATTCTATATGCTTATTCTGTATTCTTTTTTCTAATACATATGTTAATATGCATTAACCTAGGCCTACACAGGGTCAGAATCATCAATATCACTGTCTTTTACTTCCATGTCTACCTGACCCACAGGAAGGTCCTTGGAGGCAATAACACACAGGGAGCTGTCATCTCCTATGACAACACTGCCTTCTTCTAGAACACTTCCCGAAGGACCCCTCTTGAGGGGGTGACATTCTTTTCAGAAATATGTCCATGGTGGTTTGCTTGGTTTGTTTCTTTTTTTAATCAAAGATTTTCCTGAGCAATGATATTGGGCTACAAATGTAATGACAGCTACAGTGTCACTAGGTGATAGGAATTTTTCAGCTCCATGATCATCTTATGGGGCCACTGCCATATACACAGTCCACTGTTGACTGAAAGGTCGTTATGTGGCAAGTGATTGTATATCATTTGAACTCCATCTTTGACAACTGACTGTATCAATGGCTCTAATTAGTCTCCTAGGTTGGTAAATTTTTTCTTATGCTCTTAGACTGGGTGTCCCTACTTGTATTTACCATTGAAACCAGACTAAAGGATTCTACCACTGCCTTTATTAAGTTTCATCTTTTTTCTTTTTCTTTTCTTTTTTTTTTGAGACGGAGTTTTTGCTCTTGTTGCCCAGGCTGGAGTGCGATGGCGAGAAGGCTCACTGCGACCTCCACCTCCCCAATTCAAGCGATTCTCCTGCTTGCACCTCCTGAATAGCTGAGATTACAGGCTCCCACCACCATGTCTGGCTAATTTTTTGTATTTTTAGTAGAAACAGGTTTCTTCATGTTGGCCAGGCTGGTCTCGAAATCCTGACCTCATGTGATCCACCCACCTCAGCCTCCCAAAGTGCTGGGATTACAGGCACGAGCTACAACACCAGGGCATTTTTTTGTTTTGTTTTGTTTTTTGAGATGGAGTCTCACTCTGTCACCGAGGTTGGAGGCAGTATGGCTCACTGCAACCTTCACCTCCTGGGTTTAAGCGATTCTCCTGCTTCAGCCTCCTGAGTAGTTGGGTTTACAGGTGCATGCCACCGTACCAGGCTAATTTTTGTATTTTTTGTAGAGACAGGGTTTCGCCATGTTGGCCAGGCTGGTCTCGAACTCCTGACCTCAGGTGAACTCCCCATCTCAGCCTCCCAAAATACTGGGATTATAAGCATGAGCCACTGCACCTGGCCTTTTTTTTTTTTTTTTTTTTTTTTTCTTTTTCTTTTTCTTTTTTTTTTTTCAAATGGAGTTTTGCTCTGTTCCTAGGCTGGAGTGTAGTGGTATAATCATAGCTCACTTTAGCTCCAAACTACTGGGCTCAAATGATCCTCTTGCCTCAGCCTCCCAAGTAGCTAGGGCTACAGGCACATGCCATCTTGCCCAGTTAATTTAGTTTTTTAAATTTTTTTGTAGAAATAGGCTCTTGCTTGTTACCCAGGCTGGTCTCAAACTCTTGGCCTCAAGTGATCCTCCTGCCTCAGCCTCCCAAAGTGCTGGGTTCACAGGCATGAGCCACTATGCCTGGCTTTTGTGATTTCTTAAAGATTGGTGTTGATGTCTGTATGGACATATCTGCAAATTACTTCATTATCTTGGAAGTATTCCATAAGATTAGAATTAAACTTATTTGAGGCAGTTAGTAGTCTCTTACCATCTCCTCACTTGTCTTGGGCTTCATGGTGGTTTTATTTATTTATTTATTTATTTATTTATTTTTTGAGACAGAGTCTTGCTCTATTGCCCAGGCTGGAGTGCAGCGGCACGATCTCGGCTCACTCCTCCACCTCCCGAGTTCAAATGATTCTCTTGCCTCAGCCTCCTGAGTAGCTGGGACTACAGGCACACAGCCATTTCTAGCTAATTACATGGTTTGTGCTGTGCTCTTAAATATTTCTTTTCTTTTCTTTTTTTTTTTTTTTTTTGAGATAGAAGCTCACTCTGTCACCCAGACTGGAGTGCAGTGGCGCAATCTCCATGCACTGCAACCTCCACCTCCCGGGTTCAAGTGATTCTTGTGCCTCAGCCTCCCAAGCAGCTGGGACTGAGCACATGCCACCATGCCCAGATAATATATATATATATATTTTTAATGTACTTTTAGCAGAGATGGGGTTTCACCATGTTGGCTAGGCTGGTCTTGAACTCCTGGCCCCAAGTGATCCACCCACCTTGGCCTGCCAAAGTGTTGGGATTACAGGCATGAGCCACCACGCCCAGCCTTCATGGTGGTTTTAAATCTTTAGAGA